ATGGTTATATAAAATAATTTTATTTTAAATAAATGATCCACAGTTTGTTGGTTTTATCGTCTGATTAAAATTCATGAAGCATCAATTTTTATGCAGAAACACTATTGTAAATGCTGGGATCCAACAATGAGTTTTCTGTCTGGTAGTGTAGGAGTTTGGGGGACAGATGGTCTGAAGAGCACGATGTTTCCTGATTTCGTTTCTTTTGCATGTAGCTTGCAGGTAGTAAGCCCGAATGCCTTCTGGTTGCAATGGAAAGTGTGTCTAACAAAAATACAGAAGAAGTACAGTCTGAACATTGGAACCGTTCCCCAGTGCATAGGGAACCAAAAGGTGTGAATCTGCTTCCAGCCACGTTCATGATCCAGGCCTTGGTGTCTTGATTCCGCGGGTGCTTTGTAAACAGTGTAGTATGCATCTCCCAGCCTCTGTCCTTTCCCGCTCCTCATCTGCCAGCCCGTTTGGGCTCTCTTAGATGGGCCCCTTGGCATCACTCCTCTAAGCGTGAAACTTCAAGGGAGGCAAACACGGAAGGTTGTAAAGTCGAGACCGGAGAACTTATAATGACAACCAGCTTCTGATAGTTTCACCCTCCTTATCTTTTTCTTTTTATCACAGGAAGACCAAAACTTCCTCTAACACATGAGCTGTCACCCCATCGTCTTAAAATCCTTCCTATTTCGTGACACTGCTCATTTAGCCAAAAATGTTATGATCGCATTTTAACTCAACAAACTTCAAAGTTTTAACAAAACTTTCTAGTCTTCCAACGCGTCTTACACTCACGTCTCTTGATGGAATGTGCGCACACTGACCAGTATGTTCCTGTCGGACGAGCTAACTGTAATAACACTCCCGCTTCCCTCGCTGGCAGTCAGTGTTTGTGCTGCCTGGGTGCTTCATTTATATTCAGCTGCTCCTTCCAGCTCTTCTGCTTGGGAATTAGCGAAGTTATTTATATAACACCCAAGGATATAAAAACTACAACCAGATTGTATCTCAGATTTAAAAACAGTTGCATTGGGGAGTTTTGAGTACAAGTTTGTTTGTGATTTTTACTTTAATCTTTAGTTAAATTTTTGTTTCTAATCACAGCTGGATCTTCATCATTTCAGGGAAGTTCATAATTTGCGCCCCTGCTTCTTTTCTGCTACTCTCAAATCTTTGCTTTTTAACCATACTTTGATTGGAGTAACTGCCCCGAGTAGTGTCTGTTGTAAAATTAATAAAATAGACATTCTTCACGGAGCTTAAGTGACAAGGTCTCCCATGGCTCAGTATCAGTTCCTACCCGGCACCATGAACTATGCAGGTCCAGGGCAAGGATGACTATTTGTGTGGATGGTATAGTGTGCTGGCCAGATGTGTCTTCAACATAGAGGCTCTCTTGCCCCAGCTGCTGGGAATGTTGACTGGCGAAGGCTCTCATCCGGGTCCCTCTGTGCTCATCCACGGAAGGAAAACACTTCAGTCACAGTTACATGTACTTGTTGGGGATCATCTTGTGTCCACTGACTGATAGGTGCAGCTATAAAGGCTCTCATCACTAGCTTCATGGAAAGACAATTCTGCATGTCAATCTCAGCTGTCACGTCCTCCATGGCCCCACTTGGTTTTTGTGGTGGCTACATCATAGATCTCAGCTAGCTGCTCCTTAAACCCCACATAGATGCCAAACACAAGGATACTGCTCAGTAGCTTCCTGTGTGCGAAGTTGTTTCAGAATCTGTTTCACAGGCAACACATCCTCGGATGAGAGTTCGTGGGGAGAGAGAAGAAAGATCACTATCTGGCCATGTAGATCTCATAGGGAAGGCGTTCCATAAGAAACCCAATGGGAGCAGAAATGTGACTTATTTTAGCCTAACAGAAGGAAGATCAGGAAAGATTTTTTTTTTCAGAATAAGTGACCTTTGAGATTGATTTGGAAAAATAAAATATTTTCTAGGAAAGGAAAAGTATACGGCGTCCTGGGCATGTGCACTGTTTTTAAAAGATGTAGCAATGAACTCAAGTATGGCGGCTAAAAGATGAAGCCCACGTGTGAGATGCCTGGGGATGAGGAGGAGCCAAGTCACAAAGCACACCACTGACTGCAAGAGTCCCCAAGCTGTAGTGTGCTCTTCTGCTGTCTCCCTAGTGACAGACATGGTGCCTGTCCCACATAGGAGATGTGACCTGGGCAGACTTAGAGGCATCTCTCCCACTGCGTCTACTGGAGTCTGTTTTCTTCAAAACTCTTATTTTACATTCCACTCTCTCCTACTTTAGCAAAGCTCAATATATACACGATGAGCCCAGCTTTTTGGTTAAAAATAGCCATGTATAAAAAGATATAAAACGTTCCATTGTTGTGCTTAAAATTTTATGATTAGAAATTCTAAAAGTTTCAAGTGGGGAGACAGCAGACATGGGAGCCCCACTTTGAAACCTCTTTCAGGGGATTTTCCCTTTGGTTCTAGTGTGGATCTGGTGGATGGAAATTGGTCTAAACCTAAATTGTGTTGTAAAATTGAAGAATTGGGATTAATCATTTACCTTTGAGAAACCTGAAATCTGGAGCAAAGCAATCACGCCGAAGAATTACTATAAAATATGACGTCTATAAGGTCATACAGTAGGTATTGTCAAAGCCAGGACAATGTGGCATGTTCCTTATGTACTACATTGCCCTTGTTATGGTTACATAGGAGTTTGCCAGACCCCTCTGAACGGCTGGAGTCCGAAAAGTAGAAGTGCCAACCTCAAGTGCCCTCATGAGCTCTGAGTCTGGTACCTCACCTGAGAAATGGCAGCCTGGACTGGAGAGAGCACCAGCACCCCAACCCTGCAGTGTGAAAGGGACAGACGTGTCCAGTAAAGGGAGATGTTTAATGCAGGTTAAAGTGCCCTTCATGGCCTGTGTCCAAGCCAGCTACTTTCTTGGAAATGTCATTTTTTTTTCTGATTCGGGGACATTTTCCATGAGGCTAATTTTAGGCATATTTAAAGCTCTCTTCATTGTAGAACTATCCAGTTTACCCATTCTGTGAACAGAGCACTCACAGACCATAATGCTTTCCCTTAGAAACTAAGCTTTGTATGTTGCTCAGAGCCAAGCCTCAGTGCAAACAAATACATTCTCTGGTCTGGCGTTTTCTGGTTTATTCAACTCCATTACAGACTGGGCTTAAGAAGAAGAAAGGTTTAAAAGTTAAGCCTCCGGAGAAGCAAAACAGAAGCCCCAGGAAGACGGTTTGAGTTACGTTAGCTCAGATCAACGGAGGAGAAAAGAGGAGGGATTGCCATTCTCCAGACTGTCATTGGCCCCGGATCTATACCCCCGGAGCCTCTGCTATTTTAATTTCACCACTTCAAGATGGAGGGAAAGTAGGTTAATAGTTTCCGTGAGTTTAGATTGTGACCGAAGGCAGCTACAGAACCTCAGGCAGCCGCAGTTTAGTGGAGGATGATGATGATGGATTTCCCAGTTCATCTTGGGAATGGATTCCAGTGTTGGAGACAGTGGACCAGTGCTGTCTGCCAGTCATTCTCTCTATAGGCATTCATCCCCAACTTGTTTTTGTCCCAAGCCATCTACGAAACAGAGAAATAGATTCTTAAGAAACAATCCCTTCCTTCTATGAAATCACAGCATTATAATATAATAAGGTAGATACAGTTTAGTGTTATTAAAAATAATAAACTGAAGTAGGGGAGAAAGAAGAAAGAAGAAATGCATTCAGGCGGGTCATCAGAGAGCCTTCTGAGCTGTGTATATTATTAGGTCAGAATGGCAAATTGCAACAGTTCATGCGGTCATGAGTCAAGACACAGAATTTCAGGGATGAATGAGAGTGAAGCACCCTGCCTGGGTGTGATGAGGAACTGACCTAGAGAGGGGGATAAAATGTCCTCGAGGGAATTCACTCCACGTTACGATGCCATGAAGGTGTGTTGTCAGGAGAAACACCTGGTCCCATCCGTGTTTCAGGAAACAGATTGGTCATCCTTGAAGAGGCCAAGGGTTATTTCAGGAGGTTATATAAACAAAGAAGCCAGTGCCGAAGACTTGCCTCGGGTCAGTTTTCAGGACACCTGCTACCTCAATACAGACATAGCTCTCCTCAAGGCCTCCGAAGGCAGTTTCTCCTTAATTTCCAAGATCCACCCACTTCTGTGTCTTCTGTTGACCTCTCCACCCTACATAATACCTGATTTTAGTGAGTCACTTCAGATACTTTGTCTAGAAAGTAACACATATCACACACGTGAAAAAAGATTGGTTGAGAATACAGCCGCGGAGGAGGGGTGGGGCTCACAGCTGGCCCTTTCGAATGCTGACTTGCTGATGGTTAGCTCTTAAGGTTCACGTGTGTTCCTAAAGTTCAGTTGTGGTTTTGAATCCAGATAAACTTTTCACAACTGGACCACCTCTTTATGTTCAGCCTTTCTACCAGGGCTTCATTTAGCCTGAATTTTGAGGTTTTAAATGGGAGTTTTGATTTGGGCTCTATGGAGGCGTATATAGTGTCGCTGTCATTACATACTAAAAGCCTCACTGCCCCTACTAGGTCTTTAGTGTTGAGTCGAGTTTTACTTGTAACAGTAAAGCAGTTTTTCTAAGTACAGAACCTGGGCGATATAGCTCAGCAAACACATCCAACCTACCCCTCTTTCTGTCAATAAAGCTTCACTGAATTACAGGCCCTCTGCTTGTGTGCGCTCAGAGGCAGCCTTTGCATTGTGTGGGCAAACTGAGTGGTCAGTACCATGGGTCCTTGCTATCTGAGCCTTTATTGAAAAATGTGTCTTCACTCTTGGTGAAGTAGAAAGGAATGCCATAGAAGGCAGACAGCAGGTATTGAGAAACACGTGTGTGCTGCCTACTGCCTGGGTGATCTCCTCTGACCTGCCTGTGTGCATCGTTCTCACTGATGCCCACCACCTTCCCTGGAGTGCTGTGGTACACGCCAGAGCCACGCTGTTGTGCTGAGCAGGTTTTTTTTTTCTTTCCTCAGAACACTCTGGAGCAGTGCAATGTGTGTTCGAAGCCCATCATGGAGCGCATCCTCCGTGCCACCGGCAAGGCCTACCACCCTCACTGCTTCACCTGCGTGATGTGCCACCGTAGCCTGGATGGCATCCCGTTCACCGTCGATGCCTCTGGTCTCATCCACTGCATCGAGGATTTCCACAAGTAAGTAGCCGCTCTCACCTCCAGCCTGCCAGCCCTCTGAAGTCTGCTCCGATTGCCTGCCACTGGCCATGATTCTTTCTGAGAGACATACCCCAGGATCTAGGGATGTATCCCGAGGGTTATCTCTCTCCAGTGTGGGCTTGACATTTGGGGATCCCCGACCTTATCCAGCGTAGCCTCTCCTCTGCAATCGATCATGACATCCTCGTGCAGCTATAGGTAGGGAGCCGTTGACTCAGTTCGACAAGGGGCATGGCATTTGACACGTTGCACCATTACCTGCAAGTAATGGTCTCCTAACTCTGGCAGCGTCTGCACCCTGGTTACTGAACGGGTAGAAGGCGCTGCTGGTAGATAGGTGTAGGGATGCAGATCGCAATTCTGTCACACAGTTCCAGTGTGAGAGGCAGCCTCGTGCCATAGCCAATAAATCCGCATCCTCCCTTAGCCTCCTCCCCCACCAAGGGCTTTGGTGCCTCGGTACGCTTCCTAATGACATCGGTTAGTGCAGCATGTACCATGCTTTGAGAAGGATCAGAAAGAAAACTCTCAGGGTCAAGTCTACTAAACCACAGGCAGGCCTAGAAACATGCCTTCCTTTTTCATGTTTCCGATTTTACAGTGCCTCTCTCTTCCGCTATAGGAGGCTTTGAGAAAACGATAGCTTTGTATTTTTTCTTAATTGTGCTGGTCTGCTGGCTAACTGGTTCATGGCATCAGTGCCCGTGTTTATTATGGTCTGTGTGGACAGCGGCAGGTACGGCTGGCTAATGCGAGACAGGGTGGCTTTCTTGCTTCCGTTTGCTGGGCACTCACTTTAAGAGAGCTTTGTAAGGCTCCCAAAAGATGAAGCACATTGCTGACCACTTTGGGCTCCGCTCTGAGGCTCAGGACAGGCCTGTGGGTTTCTTTCACCACTCTTGATTGTCAACATCCAGAAGGGACTTTCCACAAGCACTTTGGGGACCTAAGATTTGTATTTTTAAAATGAATTTCCAGACCACTCTCCGAAGGAGCAGTGAAAGCAAAATAAGCCTCACCAAAAGACGTGAGGCTGAATGAATTATAAAACCCCAGAAGCAGAAATTTCAACCTGAATTAGACAAGAAAAGGCTTGCTTTTAAAGGGCAGTCACAGCATAAATCGTACTTCACATTATTGCTATTTTTAGCTTGTAATTACACATTTAAAAAAAAAACCTGCATCTATTTAAGGGAAATGAAAAGATACCAACGGGGAGTGTTTTTCTGTCACCGTTTCTCTCTTTGAGAGTTTCTCCATCTGAGAAAGACAGGTAGATGTAAGCCGGGCACACACTCTTGTGCGGCTGGGAAAGCCTGAGCTATTACACCCTCAATTAAAAGAGGAAATCAGTGCTGACAGAGGAAGTTTGTGTCTCTGCCACTCACCTTTCATTTCTAGTGGTGGGGAGCATAATTAGAGACTGGCAACGGGCGGCATAGCGTGTGGGTCTGAACCCTCTAAAAAAGCAGCCTTAAGCAACTGAAAGGTGGGGGGAGTACATATCTCAAGCCCCAACCCCCTCTTCCTTTCAGTGCACATGAAAAAAACATTATTTTTTTAAAAAAATATAATGTTATCTACATAATCAGCAGATATGGGGCGGGGACTTTTAGAAGAAAAATAAAAGAACATTTTGCAGAGCTCTCGTCGCTTAGCTTGAACAGTACAAGAATAGAGAGTGGCTAGTCTTGCATCTCAGGATGCTAGCCTTCCAATCTGGGGTGCATACTGCACAGCCAGGGAGACCAACGGAGTGGCAGAGCCTGCCTCTCTACTTTGGGAAAGCTTTTCCTCTTTGGCTTTTCTGAATGGGTCTCTACGGAAGGCTTTTAAGAAACAAGTTTGGCTTCAGTTCTCACGTTCACAGACTTCTTTGTGCCAGCAGCTGTGTTGAGTGCAGAAGGAAAAACTGGACACAGAGAGCTGGACGGAGGTAGTTGTCAGTGCTGGGTTTGTGGGAAGGAGGCAGAATATGCCAGCATCACAGGGATGCAGGGCAGAAAGGGCAGCCCTGGGAGGGGAGGTAGGCACAAGGAGAGCTGCTCTGTCTTCTTCAGAGCGGATCCTCTGATTTCAGGATCCGGGCAGGCCTCATGCAAGCAGGACTGGAAGTGTGCCAAGTGAGGAGCAGGAGGATTGCTGATAGAGAGGATATGGGGTTGGCTCTGGCAAAGCCTATAAAATGGCATCTCAGAACCTGTCACTTGGAGGACAGAATCTTGAGGCTTAGTAAATGGACCATTTCCTTATAATGACCTTTGGTTAAGGTTGAACTCTTTCACAGATATGCTCACCAGTAACTGTTGAGAACTCCCTTGTAGGGAGCCTGTTTTTGGCCCTGTACACAAGTATGTGGGAGGTAAGCAGTGAACGCACGCACACACATACACACATGAGTGTGCGCCCGCGCACACACACACATATACACACACACTTCCTCCTCATTTTACTTACATGGCTTTCTTTAAAGGCTAAACTTACTATTTGCCTCTCCTCATCCCCAGTCATGAATTTATGCTACCTCTATATTTGAGCAATTTTATAAGTCTATTATGGTGTTGCCCATGACTTATACATGTGAATAAATTTTTACAGTAAACAACTTAAATAAACTTTGCAAGAAGGTAGGCTATATATAAAAGTTTAAAGCAAATAGAGAAGCATGGAGAATCCCCTAGCAGGTCTGTACTGGCATCTGAATCTGTCCTCCTTGTGTCGGGGATAGTGGGCTTGCGCTGTTCTTCCTAGTGGTGTGTGGCATAAACAGTGACCTGTGCTTTTCTGAGAGAGGTGTCATCCGTGGTGATAGGCAGGCTTCCTGGTCCCATGACAAATCCCCAAGTAAGAAAGGTCTATTTGGGCGCATGGTTTTCAGAAGTTTTAGTCCATAGTAAGCTGGTCCTTGGCTTCTGGACCTGTGGTGAGTCATTCTACAGTGGAGGAAAGGCATGCTTGAACAAAGCTATTCCACCTCATGGCTGCCAGGGACAAGATGTGCCCTTGAACGGTATGCTGTTGTGACCTGCTTCCTCTAACTTGCTCACCTTCATCAGCATCTCCACTGCTCCCTGATGAGTCCATTGTACTATGACTCTAATAAGGATGTGTGTGCTGGAGTCAGAGCTGTCACCATCCAGTCACCTCCCCGAGCTTCATCGACTGGCAGCTACGCGCCAAGTCTATGAGCCTGAAGGGAACATTTTATATCCAAACCACAGCACTGATCCATTTGGTTGTTTAATTTGGCATTCATTTGTTAATTGCCAAAAATAGGTTGGCTATGAAATGACTAGGTTCATGGCTCCCTTGACTGGAGACTAGAAATCATAGGAATACTTCCTCATAACATGGCTATCAATGGAAAATAATAATGTGTATACAGTGCCTAACAGAACTTGGCAGGTAAACAGTAACCATCAAAACTGTTTTCACCCCATTTATTATTATTATTATTATTATTATTATCATCATCATCACTATCATCATCCACTTGGCAAGTTAAACACTGGAAAATACCGCCTAGGTCACGAGACCACAGCGACAGCTCCTGCCTCTCTATTTTGCTAAGGAAGAGTGATTGGTTAGTGAGAACATAGCTTCAGACTGTCTAGAGAGGGTCCATGAGACCAGACATAAAATCTAATAATGCCTTTTTCATAGAAAAATGTAGCAGGTGGTTCATGCCATTCAATATTGCTCAAATTCTTCTTGTATGAGCCAATATAGTGGTCACCAAAGACAAAATAATTACTACTAAATAAGTAAAGTAAAAAAAAGGAAAGAAATTGTACCCTAGAGGAATACATTAGCCCGGGACAACTGGAAGGGGCTGTGGCTACTTCTGCCCTCACAGTGTCCTAGAAGCTGGGGAAAGGAAGTTTTGCAGCTGATATCAGAAACCCGTGATTTTTACTACTGATGACCCAGATTCAAAAATAATCAGGTAATCCAAAGCAATTTTTTTGCCACTGAATATAAACTTTTCGCATAAAATACCAATTATAACAACCCTGATTACGACCGCAGTTGTACCATGATCCTCTTAATTTTTCTTTCACAGCAATCAATCGATCTGCTACTTAATTCATATTTATTTAGATTACAGCCATACAGATGCCTTTTGGGTGCCTCCAGGAAAATTAAAATGTACATAGAGAGTATAATGTATGTAAAAATGCTTTGACAACCATGAAGTGCTCTGCCGAGGATTAGATTACTATCATTATTTTATTTTAAGTCTTACTACAAGTAGATAAATTTTAACATCATTAATTTTAAAACCATTTCCATGAAAAGCTTTAGTAGCTTGTTCAATATCTCTCTATATATCCCTTTTTCACTCTCATTGGTTTTTAGTTTTTTTTAAAACAGGAGCTCACTCAGTAGCCCAAGCTTGGTTGGAACTTGGGGTGATCCTCCTGCCTCAGCCTCTCTAGTACTAGGATTTCAGACATGCTGCTGTGTCCTTTAACAGTTTCCTTCAGTTCTTATCTGTGTCCATTCCAAATCATGCCTTACTTCACACCTTCACAAACGCTATCCTTCAATTCTAGAAAATATAGATGGGTTCATAGTCCATTTTTTCAGCCCCCTCATCTAAGACAAAAAAGTTCTATTAGCGAATAACAATAAATTAAGAAATATATTAAAGTTCTTCACCAGTAGTTTCAAAACCTTACGTGTGTGCATAAATGTGTTTATATAGACTTTGATCATACTAAAATCCCTTGTACATATAGACTTTGATCATGCTAAAATCTCTTGTACAGACAAAATATAAATAATGTGTACTTTGCCTTTGTGAGTTTTTCATAAAATATATAGTAAAGCCACCAACCTCTGCCAATTGGTAAAACCTGTGTGTTTGAGGCTTTTTGTGGAATTGAAGATATATTTTAAAGAAGAAAGCTGTAGAGATTCCTAATTTCAGGATTTGTCTAGGGCACGAGGGAGGCACACTAACATCTAGAAGCAAGTCAGAGGGTAGTTGGAACCTACCAGGACCTTTGTCCATCCTTATCTCCTGCGTTCAGCTAGGTCATGCCTAGGGAACAGTGTGGTTCTCTACACAGGACTCCTGCATAGCACATGCTGCCTGCTAAAAAGTTCCTTGCAGAGTCTCTATTAAAATCAGTTCCCACCCTCACCTCTGTTCCCACCCTCCTTTTTGTCACATACATAGCACGCACCATCTGTGGAGGCCTCTACTGTCACATTCTTTAGGTCAAGGTCACACAGGAAATGCAGACCAGGTGTCAGCCTGTGTTCCTCTCCATCCGCATCTGTGCTTGACATCTCACCACTCTCTGTCTCTTTTCAGGAAATTTGCTCCACGCTGTTCTGTGTGCAAGGAGCCTATCATGCCTGCCCCAGGCCAGGAGGAGACTGTCCGCATTGTGGCTCTGGACCGTGATTTCCACGTGCACTGCTACCGCTGTGAGGTCAGTGGCATCCCAAAAGTCAGAGCAATTCTAAAACCTGGAGACCCTGGTGCCTAACAAAGACCCTAGCGTTAACAGACAAGATCCAGCTCTGACACAGTTAATACAGTGACATCACACGTCACCCCCACTTCACACAGTCCCTCTCTCTATACAAATGCTTCGAATTCTTACCCCTCCAGATGTAGCTATGAGACTGAAACACAAAATTGTAAACTATTACAGTAGAGGAAGAGTGATGATGATGATGATGATGATGAATCTTTAGCTTATGTTGTAGTTAACTGCTTCTTTGGGCAGAGGGACCATTATCACCCAGTGAGAAGGACAAGAATTCATTCACTTCAGGGTTGCAGGAAGAGATTTATTTATATAGCAGTTGGCTTCCAAGCGTCGCTTAAGAGGTCACAACTGTTAAGAGTTATGTGAGAGTCGGGGCAGGGTGCTGTAGAATCCATAAGCCAGACCCAGAATCAGCCTAGAAGTGAGAAGAGGGGCTTAGCTAACACTGTGGGGGGATGTGCAGCCATAATACAGCAAAGGGCAGAGGTCCTTCCCTTCATTTGAGTCTTAAAGGACACTACATTGAGAAGGTGGTTTGAAAATATTTTACCGTCTTCTGTGAGCTACCCAGGCCCCTCCTTCCAGTTTTCTCTGTCATTACTAGCTCTTATGGATACAGCCCTTTCCAGCCCTTCTCCTATCTGTGTGGGATGCAGGCTTCCTCATTCGTTCCCTTGTCCTCACAGCCCAACAGAATGATGCCCAAGGTTGTGAAATGTCAAGGCTCTGAGGCCCCCAGAGAATCTGTCCACTCCATTCACCTCCTTGTCTTTAACTGGCCGCCTGTTTTTGCACTGTGCTCTGTTCCTCCATAAAGCCCAGGTTATATGCCCCTCTCCAAGCTTAACACGAAGAAATACTATAACTAATGTGAGATCTAAGACCAGGGAGGAAACGAGAACATTAGTGTTCAGCTGTCATCTTTCCAGTGCCCCTGTGATGAGGCCACTGAATATAGAGATCTTTTAGAGGACATTTGATAGTGGATACCGAAGCTCCAAGAGCCCCCCTCCCAACACACACACACATAGACACACACACAGAGAGACTTAAAACTGCCATCTATGAATGATGTCATTGTGAGTTGAAATCATTCTTTTGTTTAGTTCCATTACTCAGTTCCTGCAGACATCTCACAGTCCAATACATCACTGGTTCTTTTTGGCAAAGCCAAACTTCCTGTGGATCACAACTGTGTCTGCTACGGTCCTTTGGGTCAGCCCTGTTTATACCAGGAGTTTATTCTTTGTCAGCTGTAGTCATGGCTTCATTCATCTCCTCGCTCCTCTTGGAGAGCAGAGCCAGCAGCTTTGCAGCAGTCGTGGCCTGTGACGACAACTTCTAAAGTGAACTGGGCACATAGTGCTAAGTAGGACTCTGTTGATTTTCCAAGCAAACCCACGTTGCTTCTAAAGGCCAGGACTGCCATCCAGTGCTACCTGATGCTTTACAGAGTGGACCTTCCCCGGTAGCAACACTAGCGCGATCCTTTGAACATAGGCGACCCTGCGTTTGGTACAAAGTATGTTCATATCCCTTCTCAACTTTGGCTGTCCCAAAAGCTTGATAAGGCACAAATTGCCTTAATTATTTTCGCAATGGCGTTCAGTCTTGTGTGTAGCCTGTACAGACAGTGACAAACGTAACAGTGGCACCCGGGGAGCTTGTCTCCGGTTATGTGATCTGTCCCTCTCCACTGTGCTAGCCCTTTTGGAAAGTATGACGAAGTCTTAGTCCTCCCAGCCCTCGCATTTTTGTGCCCTTGCTACAATTGAGTAAACAATGCAAAAGTCATTGGTAGCCTTGCTACATGACAGAAATCACCTTTCTTTGATTTAAGTAGCAATAATAAACTCCCATTCTTGCCCCTGTTCATTCTTTTGATGAAGGGTAGTGTGCACTAGGGACCATGCTTTTCCTTGCTGTTGTTAAGGAGAGCATATTAACCCCTGGGAGCCGAGAGCTAGAGACTCTTGCCTCCTTGTACTATGTTTTTGTATTCAGTGACTAGAAAAGTCATTTTACACTATTTGAATTTGCTTATTTTGTTTGGACATTGAGTCTCTATAGTCCTTGCTGGCCTAAAACTTGCTATGTAGACCAGGCTGGCCTCAACCTCACAGAGGGCCCTGTGCCTCTACTTCCTGCATGCTGAGATCAGAGGCATGCACCAACACTCCTGGCTTTCATTTGCCCTTATGTGATTAACCTCTAAATCAGTGTCCTTCACGATCTGCTATGTCACGTACTAAGGGTGCAGGACAGCGGGCACAAGATGGAAGCCTTGTCAAGATGGCTCAGGAAGCTGGACTTGTGCCCGTGCCTCACAGTTTCACTCCCATCCCTTCTGCCTCCGTTTCTCTAGGATTGTGGTGGTCTTCTGTCTGAAGGAGACAACCAAGGCTGCTACCCTTTGGATGGACACATCCTCTGCAAGACCTGCAACTCCGCCCGCATCAGGGTATTGACCGCCAAGGCAAGCACTGACCTGTAGAGTCGGTTGCCCGCTTCGCCGCCAAGCGTGCGGCACCGAGAACGAAACACAAGACAAAGAGAAGAGAAGAAATAGAAAAATAGAGGCAAAGCTCTCAACCCCTGGGATGGTCTCTGTTCTTCATCTGCTGTTAACCTTTTCTTTAGAAGCACATACAGGATGAGATTTGTTTAAGTTCCTACCAAATACACATTTCACATTTAATCATGCAAGGCCTTGATGAGCCTTTGTTGTAAGGACCTCCACATTTTTGCACAGATTAGGCTCCGTCCCATTCACTTCTGCATTCCTGTAACTTTTAATCCCCGTGTTTGTCTCACTTTCCATGTGGCTGAATAGGTTTTTAGTGTGGTATTTGCTGTCACATGATGTATCCTGGGTGGATATGCCAGCCTGCAGGTGCCTTTAGCTTGACGTCTCCTGCTGTCCCCTTTCCCTCTGGCCATGGCCACGGAAATCAAGCCGTTCTGTTGCCAAGAGTTGGAAAGGTGGATTTCCCCATGGCACTGTACCACTCGTGTCTCCTGGTAAAAATAAATGTGGGGGGAGTGCACATTCTTCTGCTAGGCTATAAAGAATGTACTTGAAAAAAATACATAAATTTACAGGAGCCCAAATTTACTTTGCCATTATCCAAATTCAAGATGTGCAGTGCCCAGTGGTCGATGCTCATTTGAAGGCATTTTTTAGCCGATATCTAAAATGTGATAGAACCACCATTCACTACTGAGTTAAAGAGACCACATGGGAAATGCTAGCCAAAGGACCGCTTGAAAGCAATTTCAAAGCGTTTGAAAAGCCCAGTTTATTTTCAACAATTCTACCTTGAGCTTTTCGTCTCCATGCTATCTGGACATAAGACAGACAGACAGACTTGCTTTTGGTACATTTCCAATTCTGTCTGACACTTCATCTTACAAGGACTGTGAATTTTCCCCTACCACACACGCATGGTTACTACAATTAACATTTATCTACAGAGAGATATGTATTAAGAGGAATCAAATTCTTCTCTTTCTTTCATTTTTATAATAACCCAAATCTATTTTTTTTTGAAAACTGCAAATTTGGACCCATAAAACGAAGTTACATAACCATGTTTCCTCTTCTTTGAAAAGAGAAGGAAAAGCTGGGCAAAGATTGCGAAACCAGAGTTTTATTATTCTGACAATCCTTCTGTAGCTCAAGTACATATTGCAGGAGACATTTTCCTATCTTCAGCGTGACATTTACACCACACTTTCAAAGACAATCCCTGAAAACAAAATTGTCTTCCTGAGCTAAAAATATGCAGAATGCCTGACTAGAGTCTTTATGCGAACTCTTATTAGCCAGCGAAACGCTTGCTTGCCAACTGGAGCCAGTTTGCTCGGTGGAGAGGAGACACTTCGCTTAGCAATAGCAGCTGGCCATTTTGTGAACTCACGGTTCTCTATCTTGGGACGAGATTTCCCAATCCTTTCTTTAAATCTTCTACAAATATATACTTTAAATTATGGAATACTTTAAATATACAGAAGGGTATAAATAATAATATAATGAATCCCTCTGTAGCTAACACCCAGTCCTAGACATAGAGAAATATAGCCGCCTTAAATCCCAATATACCTTTATATTTCTTTATGCGGTCGGTGCTGGGAGTTGAGCTGGGGCCTCAAGTGTTGGCAAGCACCATCCCACTCCTGCATCCCCGGCCCTTCTGTGTCTTTTTATTTTTTTTTAAATCTTTATGACATGATGATCTTCTAGTCTGACAGTTTTAATTTTAACATTTAGAGCCAAAAAATTTTTAATTGCTTGTGCATGTTTCAAATTGCAAACCCATGCATGCCTCAGGAATTCTTTATAAAGTTGATTTTACTTGAATAGAAGTCATCAGAAAAGTGATTAAAAGAAACCCTTAAGCTTTTGTCACTCAGCTTGTCTGGGTCAATGTGGGGCTTCTTTAACTTTCTTCGCTAAGCAGTTTGCATGCTAGAACCCCTAAAGCTGGATTTCAGGGGGTACCCTCTACTGCCTGCTCTTACCTGCTTCTCTTCTCTGGAGATGCACGGAGGGCAGCTTGTGGATTTCAGGATATGGTGGGTGGTGGCTCTATCCCTGAATCCCTGTGTTCCAATTCAGAGGCTCAGCTGTGCCATTGACCTTGGAGAACTCTGACTGTCGGACAGTCAAGGTGGCAATACAGTCCGCTTGAACTGACCAAAATCTTCAACGTGAAATTCAGGAAACTGTCTTGATGCCAAAAGTAGGGTCTAGTTTAACGAGGGCAGAAATTATGTCTAGAAATGCAGTAATATTGCTATAAGTTTAGACACCAGAGGAAGAATTTATGTACTATTTATACTATAGAGCAATAACATCATGTGTGTATTACATTTAACTACTTCCCGAACCAGATGCTTGCATGCAAGAGTTGCAGGGATTGCCACCACCGTTTCTCCCCTGAGGTCTGAGGACGCAGCTCTGCATGCTTACAGCCATCCCCGTGCCTTCTCACCATGTAACCTCAGAGTAGCTTTACCAAAGAGTTTTAAAGTGAATTTCTTTTTAATATAGACATATACTTTTATAATAACAAACGTGCACATACACATATACAGAAATATTTAGAATTAGATATTTTTCTTTCACAAGGTCTAACATTGTAAAGGATCCTACAACTTCATTCTTCAATTTCTTTAATATATGATTTTGCCTTGCTTTCATATTTTCTTTACTCTGCATTTGATTTCAGCAATACCAAGTCATTCTACTCGTTACTCTGTTAGCTACGTAAAGTTTTGCCTACTGTAGAGATATAAAGATCGTATTACTTTAATGATTATACACACTGTCTTTTGATATATTGCCTTACTATGATTTAAATACATAAATAGAAAAAATATGTCTGTAACTGAAAACTTGTAAAATGCTATCTGAATTGTTTAAATATCGAGAGCACAAACACTTGGTTCTTCTTTATAAAGTGTGATACGTAGGACAGGGGGAAAAAAGACCCACTGTCATGGGCTCTGCAGAGAACATTTCAAAATAAGATTCTATTTCTAGAGTGGTGGGGATGGCTCTCTAAGCCTTGCATGAAACAGACAAGTGCTCTCCCATAGCTAAGCTCCCCATCCAGAACAAGATTTTGCAACTGTTTGGAATCCCATCTCAGACTGGCTCAATATGGAGCTGGGCAAACAAAATCGGTCTTTAAAAGTCATAAATAAGTCACCACAAGTCCTAACTCAAGGCCTCCACGTTAATGAAATATTGCCATTTCTGCAGCTCAAAGATGTGGGTTTTTTTCCCCCTGTCACCAGCACATTGTTGTCCCTGTTGGAATGACTTCTCTGATCAAAATGACAACATGGGTTATATGCTGATTAATGAAATGAACTTAAAAACACTAATTGTTTTCTATGGGAAAATCTGCAGATATGTCTATGGTGGGCTGTTAAAAACATACGGGCCTTAATGACGATGAACAGCTATTTTGTATTTGGGTCCAGGGGAGGGGGAACACACTTTGTATGTGGCTGCAATAGAACGTTGGTTCACCAGAGACAGGCCTCCGCCAACATAACTGTCAACCATCTTCCTACTTACTACAAATCCTATTAATGTGAACCAGTCGGGAAGAACAGTGTTATTTCTATTTGATACAGTTTGGGCTTCTCCTGTCAGCTCTGTGTCGGTTGCCCCCTGATCTTTCCATTATCAAGTTTTGAAGGGTGTTGGGCAAATTATGGCAGCTGCTAAGGAGATCAGGGAAACACTGATGCCACCTCCCAGCCTCTCACCATCCCTCTTGGCTTGGAAAGGCATATTTTTTTATATATACATGTCTAGAAATATTGCCATTCTACCTTAGTATTTCACATTTGTAGTTTAAACAAGTGATTGTCCATCTGTTGCCTCGAGCTACAGTACATGTGTGTTATGAATGAAATATGACAGCATGTTCCATACCCCTGCTTCAGCCATCTGTAGACAACCAGCAACCGAAAAAGATACCTCTGCAAAATGTGCCTTGAGTCCTGTCCTGGGATGGCTCTTCGGGTGCACTTTCGTGAGAGACAATCAGAAGCCACCCATAAGTGTGCCTTATTCTTAAATAATCTGTTTACACTACTATGACCGTTGCTCAGTATAGAAATACTAAATCCCAGAGATTGACGATATCACATACAGACACGAGGCGGGGGTGAAAGGAGAGAGAGAACTGGAGCAGTTCCGTCTTAGTGTACTGTCTTCCATTTGGAGGGACCTCAAGGGTGTCTGTGAGAGCATGCTCCCTGCCAAGGGGCTATGTTGGGCGTCCTAAGTGCTTGTGATTGGATCTTCCTCTTGTTTTGCTAGGATAATAATACCCATTCACCACACACACCTTTAAATTGGATTGTTTGTTTGAATTAATAAGGAGCAGTCTTGATTATTGAGCAAGTTATAATTGTGGGACAACCATGAATATTTCCAGACAAGTGATTTAGTTGACTGATATTGGAATGGACGTGCTTGTGGTGCGGTAGGTTTAGTTAGCATAGCTGTATATGTCAGATCTTTTACAATCAACCTGGCCAAAGCTACTGTGATTAATGCAATTGTTTAGGCCTTGCTTTCTCCTCTTCTATCCTTTCTTACCTCCCTCCCTCCACTTATTCCTTCTTTCCATTGTACCTACTATTGCTGCCCTATTTGGCCCGTCTCGTTAGTTAGGATACTATAACATTACAATTGCATTAAAGGAGAAAGGCTACCAGAACATATGCTTACCATCCAGACAAAACTTGTTTTACGGGTGCCTACTCTTTCAGTTGCGTCTGTTCCTAGAGGGAGCTGCCGTCTTTCCACTGTAATTTAATCAGTCCTTATCGAGGACTTTGGTAGTAGAGTCCTTTAAAACCGACCCAGTGTTTTCACTCATTTGTATGCAAAGAGATCTTTCTAAAGCTAGACCGGGATTTCTTTTTAAAACAAGCACATTTTGACCACGAAATACTTGTATTTTTAGTGGTAGAACATCATGTTGTCCCTTTGAAATGAACTTGATAATTTTCCTTGTGGCAAGGGGAAGCTACTAACTTTGAACATTGCAGCGCTTAGCCCATGGTCCATATTAAATAATAATAATTGACTCTATTTGCAAGGGATAGTTTAACACTAGGATTTTCCTTAGAATGTAGATTGTTTTGCAGGCATATTTCCCCTTAGCACAGAGGAGAAAGATACTAATTTACTTTTCTGTTCTAATTTTTCCTTCCTTATGCAAAAATTTGAGACAATATTTTAGTTAGCCACCATGCAGATGACTAATTGTGGAGAGCTATGTAAAAGACACACTTTTATCCACGTGATTGAAAGAAAATGCTCCAATCTTTGCTCTTTGCTTCTTCTGATTGTTGTTTCTTTTATAGCAGTATCTAAGCAGAATGGTAAGTATCTCTGCTGCTAGCATTTGTTAAAAATTAACATGCTACGAATATTAAAATTCTTTTATAATATTTAGAGTGAATGGCTAAGTTAAGTTTTCCAAGATGCCCATCCACTTAGAGGCAAGCTAAAACTTCCTTTATCAAACTCTGATAGCCATCTTCTGTGCTCCAGTTGAATATTGTTTAAATGGCCACAAATGCACTCTATGAACTTATCTTTGAACAGAACTTCTAAATTCAGTTCTCAATCCGAGAAGCAGAATGTTCTGCCAAGAATACAGATGTCATCATGTCACCCCGTGCTCTACACGAACGCTGGGGGTGGGGGGGGGTCTTATGGAACACAGACACTCGGATGCTGTGCCTGGGTGAGCAGTGTCAGCATCCTTATAAAGATCTGCATCCTCTTGCTTTCATGCCCGAGACCATAACATTTATTCCTGGGTACGGCCAGTGTGGAATACTACTCAGAGCAACCCAGCCTAGTTGGAAAACCACATAAAATCATTGTAGATTCCAGACTTTTCCCCTCCTCTCTGTGGTTTGACTCACCGAGTCCTTCAGCTTCTCATTGATTGGCAGGGACAGTGCCTGTCACCCTCCTGCCACCAGTGTCCACATTACCCCCAATGTTTCCTAATTCTGTTTCCAGCCATTCTGTGACTCAGCCATGGCTGTCCGTCGGGGTGGGAGAAAGCACTTTTCTTGGGGTGTAAAGGAAAAGGAATAGGAATCCTTCAAAGGTAAACAATGACCTCCCTGGAAAGGAAGTCCCCTGTAATGGTGGGGCCAAGTGTACAAAACAGACCTCTTATTTTCTGTGCTGGTTGGTTTGTTTGTTTAGCTTGTCTCACTGTTGCTTTTGATGCTGACAGAATCAGAGTCATTGAGAAGACAGGAAGTGAGCTAAGGGAGATTCCATCCGTAAGAGTCCTGCTGTCTGGCAAGACATAAAGTGTCTCGTGTCCTTTTCCTTTATGCCTGTCTTCTCAAGGATCTCACTTGTCTGTGTTTCCATGAAGGATAGAGAAAAAGCTTCTTGACACTTGGTAAGGTCTGCATCAATTCTAGTCTTTGATTTTGAAACTCTTCCATTTATTTCTAACATCTGTGTCTCAAGCAAGCAGCTTCCCTTTGTGATCAATTTATCCTGTTTTTCCTCTTAATGTCCTTATTCCTTAACTGATCTTGGTTTAATGATCACTGTTTACTAACTCTGAGAGTCAGGCTGACTGCAATAAGATCAAATGATGTCAGTCTATATTTCTTCCTAGAAAGGCGTGTGGCCTGGGAAAGACTAGTTCCTCACAGTGGCCTCTGTGGGAGTTCGGGGACGACATGTGAGGACACCCTAGGCTGACCTACTGGCTTCATTGGGAAGTTGGAGGAAGAGTCCTTAAGACGCAGCCGGACAGCATAGGCTTCTTCCTGCATAGATGCATTGGCTATGATGCATGGATTCTGGAGTCTTAATCACAGCAGGAGAAGCTTTTATATCTTCAGGCTCAGTGAAGGAGGAAAGGCATCAAAGAAAACACAACTGCTAATCCCCTCCAATCAGCATTATAGTTGGAGGAGGGGGATGGTTGGCAAGATACACCCAGCCCATACGGCAGGGATAGGAAACAGCTTCCTGTGGTCTTTGTTGCAACAAGCACACTCTTACTCTTATTGAAGCACGCTACATCCTCAGCTCTTGCCGTGTGCCTGTCTTTTGAGCCCTCCAAAAGGAACAAGTAGGCCTTGTCTACTTTTCTTTTGGGAACACAATTAGGGCTCCCAGCCATCTGTTGCACTTGGCGTTCCCATTCTATCATGGACTCCATGCTGCACAGTGAGGTTTGCTTAAGTAGTGCCTGTGTCAAGGAACCCATCACCCGGGGAGGAAGTCCCTTTGTACCAGCTGTCCTTGTCATTAAAAGAGAACCAGTCTCAGGGCTTATGTTTCCTTGGTCCATAAAACAAACCTACAAAACATAATAAAATGCCGGCTTTCCCCTCGTTTTTACCTCCACTGTATTTGTTTTGTTTTTCAGTCATGTATTATTTTTAAAAACAACTTCCGTTTTTAGCTGAGGAGTAGAAATGCTTTACACAGTCACAAAACCAGCCGAAATGATTTCTGACAATCACAGGTTAGATGTTGTGTGAGTTCCGTCAGCTGTCTTTTCTATTCAGGAAACACCGCTGTTCTGACAGCGGTCAGGTAGCTTCGTGTCCTCCCTTCGTAACTGTCCGTGAACAGTTTGCTCCATTTATCTGACCCATTGATAATGACCTTAAAAAGGAAGGGAAACCTCACTGTGTAACCTCCCGCTCGCAGAAAGAAAACATCTAAAGGAAAATGTGGTGGTACTGATGAAAACTCACCACTTCTGATCAGTTCTTCAGCACAGAAGCCCACCATCCCTAAGGATAGGAATGTCTGGTTCTGCTTTTTATGTAAAAACATATAAATTCTCTCGCCGTTGCCCTGGGTTACAGTTTAGCTAGCAATCATTAGTCTTAGGAAGGGCAGGCTTGTGTCTCCTCTACATCTGAATCTGAGAGCCCTGTAGCAAGAGCCTGCTATCCGCCCCTGGGTAGGTAGCACCTATGGGTGAATTTCTGAGCTGTAAAATAATGAAATTCCTGAGAGAGCTTACAAACTGCGTTCACACGTAGAACAGCCCTGGGAAGATGGTTATTAATAGCCTTGTCCTAGAAGAGAAAGCTGAGGTTCAGAATCATTAAGTGTCTTGCCAGAAGCAATAGAGCTGGTAAGGGTGAGATCTGGGCATTCACCCAGCCCTTGTTCCGCACATCTCACAGGTTACTGAAGGCCCTGTTGAAAAATAGCCACGGAAATTCACAGGGGCCATTTGGGTATCCGTGGCGGGTGCACATGTGTGTTACAGTGTTGCGCACCATGAAGAGCTTGCGCGTGTCTCTGTCATCTTGTGGGAAGCCCTGGGTCTTTGTGACCAGCACTGGGAGGGAGCCTGTGGGAGCAAATGGCTGTGCAGAAAGCACAGTGCAGCAAATTTCCCCAGAGGGCATTGGTTTCCATTAACCACAAAGCTCTCTGGGCCTGTCAGGTTCAGCATATCAACTGAGACCATGCCGTTTACGTACGGTGGTGTGCAGAGGTGACCTGAGTTTTAGGAAAGCCCTCCGTCCCGTGGGCTTGTACATCCCACAGAGGCAGAAGCTGCTATAAGTTAAAACACACACACACACACACACACACACACACACACTAGTCTCTCTGTTCACGTTTATGTAGAGCCTGCCAAGAGTATGCTGACAGAACAGGAATTTTTGATCCAATAAACCCATGGCCAAAAGGCCTTGAAATGCCTAAGCCAGTGCTATTGAGTGAATGGCCTTTCTGAAATTTAGCCTTCTTCATTTGATAGGCGGTACCTCTTAGGCTGTGGGATGTTTGTAATTAGTATACCCTCATCACAGGGAGCTTAGCACTATGTTTAACAACAGTCTTACTTGGAGGACCCCAGGTATCTTCTGCAAGTCGGCCCACATCACAGCTAACAACAACAACAACAAAAAATACCCTTTTGTGGCTGACTCACTGAGAAGCTGTTCATCCCATGTGCAGTCAGGGCTTTCTTTTTTCTGTCTTGTCTACCTTCTGGTTATGTGCTACAAGTGGAAACCCACCGATCAATTAAAATATCCTTTCTCCACAGGACATCTGCACTAAATCTAGAAAGCCTTTCAAACGCCCTAGTTTGTAAATTCGACATTTTCCTCCCAGAAGTCTCTGCTCCATCCAGCCGCTCATCTGCCTGTTCTCTGAGATTAGGAAGAGGCAAGTTAAGCAGCAGATAGCCTCTCTGCCTTTCCCAATCTTTCCACAGGGGAGATAGAGGGCACAGAGAGGACCAGAAGGTTGGCGTCATTGCCTGAGCACTCACAGCCCCAGGCGGGAAAGGTGCCTTAACTCTCTGAGAGCTTTGATGGATTTTATGGCCAGTAGATTGGGAAGGATTTCCTCTGGCACAGATGGGGAGCCCACCCAAACTATAGGTTAATTAAACCTTTTGAGCTCTTCTCAGAATTCCCAGATGAGTTTCCGAGGAGAGACTTGCCCCTGTAGAGCTGACCCGTCTCATTAGACAAAGGGGCAGTAAAGGGGTGAAGGCATAAGGTTGTTCCTTCATGAAAATACTCCTGAGATACCTTCACGAATCAGCCACAAATCCTGATTTGCCTTCATATAATGTAAAGAAAGGGAAAAGGGAGGGATGAAATTTTCCCTTCTTCCACCCTATATAATATAGTTCCAAAGATGTAGAGAAAGCACAATTGTCTTTGAAACACACACACACACACACACACACACACACACACACACACACAGGTCTTCACCAAGAAAGCTGATTCTCAAAAAAAAAAAAATCTTATTTTAAACATTTCAACTCTTCAGGCCAGGGAATTAATAAATTCCTATAGACCTGACCCATTTCCATAGCTGCCAAAAAGGAAAACAGAAAGCTACTTAAATCTTGTGTGGATCTATTTATCTTTTAAAATATGTCAAAGCGATTTGACGCAGGAGTGGAAAGCGAGCTGTTTCTCTGCCTTGCTTGAGTCTCTCTGTTTCTGCCAGGGAAAGACTAAGGAACCAGAATTCTTGAGGCACTGTGTTGCCATTTCCCGTAACATCTGTTTCCCTCCGTATTGAGTTGTAGGAATTCATATCTGCTTTCGTAAACCCACATCCTCCATCACGAGGAGTAAATGTTAAACCTGAATATCTTTGCTTAGCAAACTATTTCATTCCGTTTCTCAGTCAGAAAATGTGAACTAGGCAGAGCTGGCTTGCACATCTACATCCTCTCTCGACCACCTTGTGCTTTCTTTCTTAGGGGAGCCTCGTATGAAAGAAAAACATCCTAGTTCCTCCTCATCCCTCTTTGCCTTTGGATAGCCATGATGCTCATTTAGTAATTAAAGGTTTGGAACTTGGCCAGGTTATGAGGTGTCTGCCTAACGTGTTTTGTTCCTTCGAACAGACTGGGAAGAAAGGGATTTTCATCATTTAAATACCAACCATGAGAATGGTCTCATTTTGCCTAGCAAATAGTAAATTTGACACTGATATTTGGGTGATATGTGCACTATAGTAATCTTTTGTGTTCTTGATTTCTAGAAGAGTGTCAAATACATCATCGGTGTATGGGATTACATCATCAAAAGTCCTAGTACCATAGACCTCATTCACTCAGTAGCAAACTGAATTAGCCTGGACCCTCCTTTTACCTCAAGCAGAGAGTCTGAACTGAGATGGGTCCCAGAGGAGATGTAGGCTCCAGAAACTTAGCATAAGTGTTTTTCAGTAATGTAGTAGCGAAATCCTCTCAGTGACTAGCCTTTGCTTCCCACTGTGTCACTGGGGACACCTGATAAGCAAATTATCCAAGATCTCTCTCCTCACTGATGAAAGGTAGAATAGTTCCCTCTGAGGATCAAAATTGTGTCTTTCACTCTTTGTTCTTTTCTGTATGTTTGTTCTTTTGTTGTTGCTGTTGTTGTTTTTATTTAGAGACAGAATTTCTCTATAGCCTTGGAGCCTGTCTTAGAACTTGTTCTGTAGACCAGGCTGGCCTTTGAACTCACAGAGATCTGCCTATCTCTGCCTCCCAAGTGCTGGGCTTAAAGGCTTGAGCCACTGTCACCTGGCCATGTTGTGCACTCTCTTTCCGGAAACACTTCAAGGAGGAAAATAGAGTTAAACATGGCACGTTGACTGTCTGCTTCTTGAGTATGAATAAGATTGCCTCGTGAAATCATGTGCCTTTCACAAAACCTTACACTTAGAAGCCAAGTTTGTACCGCTGCAGGGAACTCCGAGCTCTGGGTCCGCACATAGCCTGGTTTGGTTTGGTGCTGTCTGAATCTACGCCTTTATCATCCCTAACAGATTCAGGGCTTTTCTTCCTCTACTGCTAAAATGGGGATGTGTGCAGTTATGAACTGAACTCTCTAAGTACTAAGCCCGTGCCACCAAGTAGTTGTGGCACAAAGGCAGAGCCCGCGGATGGTAATTTTGCCTGAGCTGCACACACAGGCTCTTCTCTCACGGCATTGTCGCGGGCCTTTCTCCCTCTGTGCCATCACCTTTGAGAAAATGATCGCACCTTCTCAGAGCCTGCCTTTCTAACAGCTACAGTGGAGTTGGCAAGACTTCCCTAGCTCTGAATATAGCCATTTGCCGACTCCGGCCTCTGTGAGACTGATTCAAATCTGTGATCTTCTGTTCAGCACACACATCAGCAAAGTGAGAATATGGGTGCTAAATATAGGCTCTATTAACTTTACTTTTAGATGTACTGCCTTCAAAAAGTGCCTATTCTGAGAAACATAAACGTTATTCCTACATATGTATGTACACACGGTACCCGAAGTCACGCTGTTCAGCCTTCGGAAACACCATCCGAAGGAGTAGGTGCTGAGCTAGGGGAGGAATTGGCTCATTTCCAACCTCCGCCACCGTGGCTACCATGAAAGGGACCGAAACAGAGTCCCTGGCACTTCCTACAGCCTCTTTGCGCTTACATGCCTGGAATCGTGGCAGACTGCTGAGGAACTTGTTCTCCGTGGAAATAATTTGCTCACAAACATTTAGTCAGGAGGAGAAATAGGCAATTAATATATGTCATGTGTGTGTTGATAAACTTAAGTATTGCTAAGTTTAGAGTGTCAGCAGGTTTCTCTTGGGCTAACAGAGAGAACTAAAGAAAAGTCTTGGCTATAGGGAATGTAGGCTCCGGAGGCCAAGTGTCCCTGCCAGATCCTTGAAGCATTTTCCCTCCAGCTCCTAAGAATACTAGCGCTTGTGCTATTTGAGGGCTTTTGTTCCTGGAGCTCCGTCAGCGACGGAGGAGCTCTAGGTGTTTGTGATGAGGCCGCAACATAGCCCGGAAGGGTGAGTTTCTGCCTAGTGGTGGCAACAGGAGAGGAGCCAGGTAAATATGCTGAGGTGGATAGAGAGACTGTATGATTGTAGAAGGGTTGAAGGGAGGACATGGTTCCAAAAAAGATTGTTCTCAATGTGTCGTCTGACTCAACCAGCTGGCAGATCACACTTGCCAAGTTGCTTCCTTTCCTTCTAAGTCACTTGGCTCCACATTCCTGCCGATACGCCTCTGAGGACAGGAAGATGTGTCCACTTAGCCTTTCTGAAACGACGCATAGTGACGTCCTCTTGGTCACAAAGCTACCAAGAAATGCCACCACTCCCACGCAGTTTCGCCAAGTGATAGTAAAGGTGACAAGCTGTGGAAGATACATTTGATACATAGTCATCAGCCACTCCGCTTTCCATATAGGAGCCCAGCAACCCAAACAGGAGCAGAGGGAGCAATGGGGCCCTGGGGGGGGGCAGCTCCAGGAGTATGGCCCTGCTGCTTTAATAGCCTCGTGATTGGAGCCAAGAGGATTTTGCAAAGAGAGTTGGGCAGTACTTCCCTCCAAAATATTTCTCCCATTGCCAATCCTTTTTTTTTTTCTGTTAATTTCAACACTAGTAGGTTTTCTGTTTTTTGACGTGATCAGATTTTAGTGCTAGAAAAGAATGCCAAAATGTCTGTGTGATGTCATCAAGTCTTTGAGATGCATAGGTTCTCTTTTTTGGACAAACTGAGACAGATCCAACGTGGCCTTGCTCTGGGTTTGAGTCCCTGTGACTCGTGACCACGAGAGATAGCTGTGTGTGAGAACTAAGTCCTGTTTAATGGTACAGGTCAAAGATAGGGGAGCAGAGCATTGAGCTTTCTTTGTGCCCTGTGTGCCCGCTGGGAGCAGGCCCTTGCTCCTAGCTGATCGCAGCCACAGCCCCAGCAGCAGCAGCTGGGAGCCGCAGCCACATTTCCAACAGGGGAAGCCACACAAAAGCGTACAGCATAGGATGTTTTTCATTCTTGTGATGCTGACAGCACCACAGTATTTCCACAGGGTAATCAAACTGCATGGGTGCCCTGCCTCATCAACCACCCCTGACATCCCCACAGCAGCACACGTAGTTCCTAACGAAAGGGAGAAGTTGTGTTATCAGACTGTGATTTGGGCAATTGCTTTTGTATTTACACATTGTTCAATTATATTAAATCATGTTTTTATTTACATTCTATAAGTTTTGATCATGTCTTCCCAGTGCTCTATGAGAATAAATACAAAAATCACATTTTTTTCTTTCTGTAAAAGAACTACTTTATATTTAGATATGCAATAAACTTCTCATTCCACTTCCTTGCCTATGTGTGGAATTCTTTGGGGGTCAGATCTTTGTCTCCTTTTCTCATAAGCCCAGGTACGATGATTCTTTTATTTTCCACCGGTTGCTCTCCATATGGTGAAGGCGTAAGTCACGAACAAGGCCACACCAGTTGGAGTTATGATTAATAGGGTGTTATTTATTTAAAGGGGAAAACTTACAGATCACCGTCCCAGACAACAGCCATCTGCACAACCAGGAAGGGAGTCTAGTCTCCGGCGGAGCAGGAAGTGAAGAGAGTGAGCAGAGGAAATAGCCGCTTTTTTAAAGGGAGAGAGACCACGCCCCAATGGGCTGGTATCACAGCAGCTATTGGTTGGAGGGGCGGAAGGACCTCCTGCAACAATATGGTCCTCTGAGAATTGGAATGCTTCATGGGAGAGTGAGGATGCCACAAGAGCATGCAGCCCCCACCCCATCAACACAGGTGAGCTCAACTTCTGACGTCATGTTCTCAAACCACTTCAGCACCCTCGGGACTCTGCAGATAGTGTGTGTGTGTGAGGGGGCCCCTTTATACTGGTTCCAGTTTTGAGGTGGGATTGGTAGGGTCTCTGCCTTCATTCAACAACTCATGTTTCCTCCACGTGTACTCTGAATATTTCTCAAACAATCACAATCCACTCTTCGCTGGGTACCTTGAGGGATGCAGGTATAATATTGGGGCTGAATGGGTAAACGTGTACAAATCGCTATGAGAAAGGGATGGGAGAATCAGATACAAGGAAGAGTGACCACATTTTCAAACTTTGCCCCTACTCATGTTTGATGGTTCTGTGATTATTTTGTCCTCAGTTATATTCTAAGAATAAGAGAAAATTACCCAAGACCATCATTGAGGAAGTTCACTTTTTCATATAGCAGATGTACAGGAAAACCAAAACACCCAGTCTGCTAGGCCTCAAGTGTAAGTTAACTACAGCACCCCTGAATCCACACCCCCCCACCCCTGTCACCAAAGCCAGGGAGCGCAGCCCCTCCCCCTTCTCTCTGACACTCAGGCCTCAGTTGCTCTCTCCAGCATCTGGTTTGTATCTAAGGATGGTAAAACATCTGAGAACTGTGAGTGCCATCTCTCCCAGGCTCCCAGAGATGGCTGTTTATGAAGCTGCCATATAGAAGGCATGTCTTTTATGAATGGCAAGTAAATCACTGATTCTCGGGGAAATTTGGGATGTTGTAATCAGAAAGGGCACTGTGAGGTCACTTTGCATTCCACCGCTTCATTTTCTCAGTAACCCATACTCTTTGACAACCCCATTCTGTTCACTTTGTCCCACACACAGAACATGAAAGCTAGAAGGGTCCTAGGATAGCATTTACCATGGCCTGACAAGGAACACTAAGTCCCAGAGATATTAAAGCATTTCCCAAGGTCCAGAGTAATGGTAAGACAGGGTTTGAGACCTGTCTTACTCCAGGGCTATCATACAGATTCTTTAATATTGTGCAACACCATGGGTTGAACAAAAGCTAGAGAGTATAATGTCACTAGACCCCCAACTAAAGAATCAAAAAGCTGTATTTCAATAAGAAAGAAAAACCAGGGAAGAACGGCAGTATAAAATGAATGGTTCATGGAGAAAATAGCAGCCACATAGTTAAATCTGAGCAAACTGTTACACTGAGCAATCTTTTTACTTGAGGGGATCAACCAACAGAGCTAAAGTACTAGACAATATTAGAATGTAGGCTGAGAGAACAAGAATTCAAACTTTGTGAGATTTTTGTAGATTTAGGGAAATGGTGCACTTGGATAACCAGATATTAAAATTAAATTTATATGTAGATGTTTCAGTAGCTACCATGTAAAGAAAGCAAGTATATATTGATAAAAAGCCAATAGGAAAAAGGGAATGGGAGAAAGGCAGGGATAAAGAAAAAAATGGTAACACACTGGTCTTAAACTCTCAATGTAACCAAAGATGACCTTGAACTCCTGATTCCCCTGCCTCTGTTTCTTGAGTACTATAATTACATGCATGTACCACTATAGCCAGTTTATGCGATATGGGATACCAAACCCAGGCCTTTGTGTATGCTCAACCAATGGAACACCATCCTCCGCCCCAAAATAAAATTTCTAAAGAGGCAGAAGAAACACATGGGAGACATGCAAAGCTGTCGAAACCTGAATTCAGATAAATGCACACACACACAGAGATAATATGTTTTAAAGGTATGGAATATGGAATTTATAAGTACCGATAACTCTAACACATAGAAATGGTTTAGAATCTATGATTTAATATCATTTTTCCTGCTTTATGCTTAAATATGAGTCAGACATAGATTAAAGTAAAAGAATGGATACCTGATCACTATTTCCAGAAAGTAAATAAATTAGAATAGACGTATTAGTATCAAAAAAGAAGGAGGAGGAAGAGAAAGAAAAGAAGGCAGAGGGGAAAGGAGGAGGAGGGAGGAGTAAAAAAGAGGAGGAGGAGAGGAGAAGGAGAAGGAGAAGGAGGAGGAGGAGGAGGAAGAAGAAGAAGAAGAAGAAGAAGAAGAAGAAGAAGAAGAAGANAAGAAGAAGAAGAAGAAGAAGAAGAAGAAGAAGAAGAAGAAGAAGAAGAAGAAGAAGAAGAAGAAGAAGAAGAAGAAGAAGAAGAAGAAGAGGGAATCTTTTAACACAAAAGAAAAATTTTAGATTGAGGTATTAATTACTGGTAAGAAAGTTTAATTTCATGAAAGAATACATACTCTTTTACATTTTGTTCTGTTTTATTTTTTTTCCTGTGAAAATGCAGTTGCCACTGTGCACAAATGGAGGTCAGAGAAAGACTTTGGAAGTCCATTCTTTTCTTCCATTATGTGGGTTCCAGGGATTGAACTCAGGGCATTGGAATGGCTTAGTGTGCACCTTTACCTGCTGAGTCACCTCTCTTGTTCAAGAACACATGTTCTGAGTTGACTGAGTCTAATGACATCACTTCAATATTTATAAAACTACTGTGAAAACCCATGAATTCAAATTCCTCACAGGACTGTAACATAATTCCCTCAGCATCTGTAAGATTTAAATCACTAAAGACATAAAGGATTTATACATTATTTTAAAACTTGACTTAATGGATAAATCAAAAGCTCCACAGACACATTAAGACTAAGCCCTCCATTTTGAAGTACACGTGACCACTAATTACCTTCTAGGTTGGGTATCAGCTCAAAGCCTTGCATTATAGGTCAAATATTATAACAATGAAGGTTTAGTTCCAATTTAATAAAGTTGAGCTGTAAGATTTTAACATTCTTGTAGTAGCAGTGAACACTGGCCCCTCCCTAGCCCATCTCAGACTCTCATGATTTAGTTGTACCTCCAACTCCAGCCCCAAACACAACGCCAGTAAGAGTTCCCGACATCTGCACTCCAGCTAGTCCACAAGATCTCTAAGACTTTTGCTCCAAGCCCAATAAGAGACCCTGGCCCCACCCTGGACACATTCACCTGATCTCAATTTCCTCAACACTTACCCTAGCCAAGAAGCCGACTGCACAGCATTGAGCCCACCCCTAGCCCCTGGAAAGCTAAAGACGTTATATCCACAGATATGCAAGTAAACTAACCTGCATGGAGACCATTACAAAAAGCTACAACTAGTCATCATGGAGAGAACAACTGATCATAGAGAGCCCAGTCCCAAAACGTATTCACAATACAACTCTTTCACCTAAGGTTAAGGAAATACTGTGGAAGAGGGAGTAGAAAGATTGTAAGAAACATAGGACTGTGTGTGTGTGTGTGTGTGTGTGTAATCAGAAAGGTCATCAATTTGAGAAGAAGTGGGGAAGGGCATGAGAAGGGCTAGAAAAGGGAAAAGGAAGTGGAGAAGTGATTTAATAGTATTTAAATTACAATTTTAATAATATCCTAAATTCAGGTGTGTGGGTCCCATCACAAAAACACAGACAGTATGGTTCCATTAAACCAATACCCTCTTCTCCATCACAAGTCCCATTATAATATTCCAGAACGAGAACAGCTTAGGAAAGACACGAAATTCAAAACAATTATGAACATGTTTAATGAGTTCAAAGCCTGCAAAAAGAACACAAACACCCGAATAAACTTGAAAAGGATAGTAATAAAATTATTGAAATCCAAGAAAATACAAACAAGTAAATGAAATAAATAGGACAATCCAAGATATGAATATTAAATCTAAATAAAAAATTGGAGCACTTCAGAAAACCCAAACTGAACTGGAACAGAAAATGAAAAATTCAATTTTCACCGAGCTAATAAAAAGCTCGGTGAAAGTGTCACCAAAAAAGTGGAACACAAAGAAAGAAGATAGACTGTTGGGGCCTAGAAACTGGATCACACAACCAAAGAAATGATACAGTAAAAACATCTATAAACAGAATATACGGGGAATGGGAGGTACCATGAAAAGACCAATTATAACTTATGAGCATAAAGACAAGTTCCAAGATATTCATCAGTATGGCTATAGGATAGGGTCATTTCAGGTTCTCTGTCCTCAGCTGCCCCAGGAACTAACTGGGGACATCGCCCTGGGCACCTGGGAGCCCCTTTAGCACCAAGTCTCTTGCCAACCCTAAGATGGCTCCCTTAATTAAGATATGTGCTTCCCTGCTCCCCTATCCAACCTTCCTTTATCCTAATTATCCCGTTTCCCAAGTTTCCCCCAACCTCCCCTTCTCACTTTTCTCTCCCCATCTCCCCTTACCCCCTTCCCACCCCACCCCCAAGATCCCATTTTTTGCCCGGCAATCTTGTCTACTTCCCATAATCAGGAGGATAGCTATATGTTTTTCTTTGGGATCACCTTCTTATTTAGCTTCTTTAGGAAATCAAATTATAGACTCACTGACCTTTATTTATCTCTAGAAACCAATTATGAGTGAGTACATCCCATGTTCATCTTTTTGGGTCTGGGTTACCTCACTCAGGATAGTGTTTTCTATTTCCATCCATTTGCATGCAAAATTCGAGAAGTCATTGTT